CCATGAACTGTTTGTACACCAAGTCTTCTAGAACAGTAGATCCTCGGTTTCCTCGACCAGGGGTTCCAGCTTTCTGACTTAAAGCAACGTCTTCTTCGCTCATCAGGTCACATTATAGATTCAGAGTGGACATACAGTTTGTTTCACTTGTAGGATTTTCTGAGGCCCACAAGAGATTACAAATCCAGCATTTCACAAAACAAAACAAACGTTTTTTATCATCTTTTTTTTTTTTAAAGCATTTTCAGATATTATTGGTAGCAACAGTAGAGGTGTTCAAGAAATATGGGAAGGAACATAGAGTAGAATGACATTCAACCATGTGTCTGAACCACTCAGCCACCTGTTTGCCCGAAATAAATAGCACTTTGATTAAATATTCTTAACTCAAGGTCCACTTACTTTGCCTTTTCCAGAGCTTTCGGCCATTTTGACTTTGTTTTTCTCTTGTCTTTCAACTCATCTCACCTGATGTCACATGACCAAAGTTCTGTCATGGAATAAAAACTGAGCAAATATGATCACATTTATCTCCTTTATTTTATCAAACTTCTGTTACCAAGGTTGAAAACATACTTTCACGCTGAAAACATAGTTCTTTGTAACATAAATCTATGATTTTTATTTGTATCCCTCAAATCTTTTTATCCTTTTATGGGGTCCTGACCACCGAGTTGAGAGCCACTGCCCTAGACCCTACACCTGGCTGAGACCAACAGCAATGTGTCAGGGTGTGGCTAATTTACATCTGTGGCCAACCATGGCAGGCTAGATATAAAACATTATTTACTAGTAATTGGCCAATGTGAGTGAAAAAAAGGAGCCAAGCACGAACAGATCTGAGGTAGCATTGACTTTCACTGTGGACCGAAAATGCGATGCATGCTCTTTGATGGGGAAGCATCCCTCAAAGACATCAATGTGTTTTGTGTGTTTGTGTGCTCCAAATAATGTGAAGGAGAATATATCTGAACTGAAACTCGGGGGATTTCATGTGTATATGAAAATAGATACGTCATCTTAACTTTTGTTTGCACCAACAAAACAGAACATACCAGTTCCCACCCGACAGCACGCGCATCGTTCCGCTCTCCGCAGGTCCTTCTGCTTAGTCTTGATCCCGTGTTGGCAGCGAGCACTGGCTTGGACCCACGGCACCTCTCATTGTTTGTAGCAGCTGTCTAGTCGGTCTGTCTCAGGAGCTCAGAGAGCAACCAATTACCAGGATTCAGGCTGTTGGGAAACAGCTTAGGTGCATGCAGCTACACCGCCGGCTTGTCCAGCCCTGTTGCTGTGTGCGAGTGACTCTTGGATGATCTGAGACAAGGGATCCAGGGAGGAAATTCACAGGCATTATCCTCCAATAAACAAACAGGGAGATCCGCTGCATGTGGCTGTGCATGGTGGGCCTGTTTGGCTGTTGGAGGACAATGGAAAAGGATCAGACTAACCTCTGAACAACAGCACTGAACACGAGACCTGTGTTGCAGGGCTTTGCGGTGAGTCTGTTACTGGGATTATGTCAGTTTACAGCGAGGAGGAAGAAAGTTTTTGCGTGGTTGGAGTTTGTGTAAGCGCCGTCTCGCCAACAACACAGCATGGTGCATGTACTGAGCAACTGCGGTCTGTGTAATCATGAAAACTTGACACCAGGTATCAAAGCAGAGATTTCCTGCATTCGCTCGCCTCCAAAGACCCATTTCTGTTCCATTTCGTGAAAGCGGTATCTCCCTTTCTGTGAGAGCAGTTTACTCTGGCAACGGAGCAGAGTGTTTCTAAACCATCTACATTTATCCATTCCCCAATGCTCTCAGGTCAGAACAATGTGCATGCCTCCACAGCCTGTTCTTACGAGAGCAATTGACCCTTTTTGTTTAACACTGGCATGTGTCAAATTTTTCCGCCCGTTTCAGACCCAGACTCTCTCCCACAACAAAATAGAGATGATGTCCACCTGGAATAACACCCAACATGTCCCCATTTGGCCAAATGCAGCATTTTGCTTGCGGTTCCGTGTAAGCATAGCTCTCTCCCCCTTGTTCCCGGTGGTTTTCTGAAGACGTTTATTATGAGAAATGAAGACAGGAAATATTTTTCAAGTGCCTTAGGTTAGCTCAACACAGAGAAGACTGAGAAACCGCATCACAATGGAGATGAAAAATGTCTTTAATACAATAATGGAATCAAGAAGACAAACATGGACTGTATTGCTCACTTTAAAATGAATGATTTGAGTCTTGTCTGACACAAATAAAATTGCAAACTAGAAGAAAGGCATAGGAATCTGATTCTTACTTGGGGGAGAATGGCCTGGATCAACAATTTCTCTCCATTCTGACCATATGTATGAGTAAATATTTCAAAGAATATTAAATGTTTGAAGGAAAGCCAGAAATCAGAACTAATGCTGAAATAACACATTCCCAGCGCATACCTGCTTCATTGCAGTAATTCATTTAGTCAGTAATCGGTGTTAGCACCGTGCAGTGTAATCCCTCTTCAGTGTTCTCAAACTCAGACCGCATTCATCTACAGATGTGCACTTTGGGAAAATATGCTAATTTCAGTGGTATAATTTGTCTGCTTCGCTTACCCTTTGTCTCCTGTGTGATTAGCTCTGGTTCACACAGTGTGCATGGTCTGAGCAGTGGCCTGCATGCATCACCTCCTCAAACATCCATGAAGTTACAGCTGATCCTAAACAGCCCCCGGTCCCAAAATGATTGCAAGGCCGGACCAAGTTTTTAATCAGTCAATTCTTTCAGGAATCTAATAATTAGGCCCGGCGATTTTTCTCATATTTGAGTCCAAGGGCAGGAGGCAAGCAGTAGACAAAGTCCTGGCTCTAATGAACAGGGGCTCCTTGGAGCATCCTTCACAGCAAGGTAACTAATTACTTCAGCATGCCACGGGAGTCATATTTCCTCATCAAATGAGGAAATGATTTTCAGGACGTCTGCGTTCTCCGGTTTCATTCCGTGTGGTTTTGCCCGCCGTCGGTGAAGTTGAGTTTCTGGCCGACTAAATGGCCAAGGTGAAGTCTGGAGTCTGTCAAGTCACAGGCCGCGCCAAGCGAGAATCTCCACTTGTCCGTCTCCTGCGCAGAGATAACCATGCAGTTCCATGACTCCTTTCGAATATGTCAGCAGCACAGAGAGGTCAAACAAAACAAAAAAATGAAGGGAGACGCTATAGGCAGCATGGAATATCACTTAGTTTTTCAATGGAAAGTGTTGCTCAGCGAAGGTGGGGTTTGGCCGGCTCAGAGCAGTGAGGGGAGAGAGGTCAACAAACCTGATAGGATTATTTCAGGAAGTGTCCGGGTGAGTAATCTCATAGGGCCACGCTGAGGTCTAGGGGCAGCTGATCCACGAGGAAACCAGCGGGGCATCTTGTTGGGCGGTTTAGCATCTCCACAGGCCAGATTGGTTCTAACTGACGAATGGAACCACAGTACACAGGGCCGTCCAACACTCAGCAGCATTTACAGCTTGTGGCGTTCGCTGCAACCAGCTCGGGAACGGCTGCCGTCAACATCTTTTATTCCTGTCTCTCAAAATCAGCTCTTGCAATCTTGTTTTCTCCTTCAGGATCTTTCTCGCTCCGTCTTCTCTGACGCACTGTTAAGACGGGTCTCGGCCCCAGCTCTGTGGCAGAGCTCATGTTCAGGACAAGCGGTGGCATGGTAGAGCCATTAATATACAGGAAAGAGAAGGGAGACTGAGCCCTGAGGCAAGGGACACACCTAGGAAGCATGAGACATAAATTCAGGCTTCCCCTGTCCTCCTTGAGATGCCTTCAGACTCAGACACTGCACAAAGGCTCAGTTGTTCATTGACGCTATCATACTGGATCCACAATACCACAAGGGTTCAAATTATATGTACACACTTCTCTAGGTATCCACATCACGACAGCGGATATAGAAAACCCAAACTTTATGAGATCTTTATTTAAAGCCATTTGTCTCTTCCTGCTGCTGCTGCCCGCTTGAACTCCTGAGAGACCAATTTCGATCTGATCCCAGGTCAAACAAATAAAGCGAAGCGCCCAACATCCTTCTAAAGGTAGCAAAAATACACAGGAGATAGCCAACGCTGGGGCCCAAACCACTAATGTGTGGCGTGTGGTTGACGCTGTATACATTCAGTTCTTCCAATGGTTTGTCGTGATTAGTTTGTTTAGCTCTTAAAAAACCACCCCGCCTTGTGTCGTAAACAAACATCTTCTACATTGCGATCAGTGTCGAGAGGTGGCCCATGGTTAGAATTAAGACGTTAGCCTGGTGACATCAACAAAAGAAAACAAAAGAATTTGTATTTGTCTTTCCTATTTGTTATTTCCCTCTCCTTTCAAATGGTAAACACACTGACACCCCTGCAGATAATGTGAGGCTCTTTAGAGAAGATAAAGGGAATCTAATATTTTGCTTTATAGCTGCACTGATGATAGTTTTTTATATCAAAAATACAATATATAACTAAATGTAATGTGAGAGGGATGGTTCATAGAGAGGATTGTCTCCCAACTTGGCTCTACAAAGTGTTTTAGCATCTTATGCTAGTTGTTGTGATGTACGACCTGCACTTTAACTACTTTAGGTTGAGTCTCACCGCTCTCATCAACCTCCTTACCAGCTGTTTTCAGAGAAAGCTCTAAAAATAAAAAGTCACTGTAGGCTCAGCCCCAAACTTTAGACAAAGTTAGCTAGTGAACACAGTGAAGCATTTAGCAGCTAAGTAGCTGATGGAGACCAAAACAGAACTAAAAGAAAAGTGAATATCGTCGACATTAAATGCTTATGTTGCTCCGAATCTAGAGGATGTATGGAATCTGAATTTGTTTGCTAACACGTTAGCCATTTATAAGGTGATGATATATCAATGTTATGTTTATGGCAACAACAACTGTCTATGCAAAAAATTAATGAACTATCAAAAGCTTGTGAAAATGATAGAATAAACAAACACAAGATGCTTTGCATTTCATTCAGAGGTTTATTCATTCATTATTTGCTTTGACCAAGTAACAACATTTTTTATAAAAGAAATTTTACATGAGAGCAACTCGGACAATACAAGGAGATATGCATTTGGTCATTGGATTGAAAATCCAGTCTCTATTAAAACAAACAAAAAAAGAAAAATTCTCAATTTATATAACTTAACAATAAAAAAACAAACTATGGTCACCACTTTGTTTTTACAAAGTCTGCAATAATAATTTATAGGCTTTAATACATACCGATGCTTTTCCATTTGTCAGCGTGGTTGTGAAAGCGAGGGCTCGAGCTGGAGAAAGGCATGAACAGTACCAAAGTCCTGGCCGTGGAACCCCCCCCCCTTTTGTTAGAGCTGCTGTCGTTGTTGAGGAGTGAGTGCAGATAGGTAACAACAAAGAATGCTCTGTTGTCTCTGAAGCCTCCTTCCCTCGCTCTCTCTCTTCCCAGCGAGCAGGTATCGTGTGAGGTGTGAGGGTCGCGAGTGGTCCAGAGGTTCAGAGGTGCGATTAGAAACACAAGGAGCGGGCCCGGCACTGCCCCGCAGCTACCCTTCCTGGATCAGGTGTATAAAAAACACATGTGGGAGCCCACAACCCCCACTGCATAAGCAAAATAGTGCCTGGGGATTGGCTAGTGCGATCGATTTCATGATACCTCCATAGACACGCTAACAGGAATAATACAGGGTTGTCCTTCGTTTCTTTTACTTCTCGTCACCTTTGTGTAAAAACTTCTCTCAGGCTGTGTGTTTTCTGATCGAAAACCAAGAACTGTAAGTGCAGCTTCTTTTTTTTGTTTTTAAACAGTTTGCACATTCAAGACATTAAAGAAAACGTCAAAAAGTCACTTTGTGCAGCTTCACTCCTTCTCAAAGTCCTTGACCATAAGCGCAGTATTGGTTGTCAAAACTGCACAATTTATAAAGGAGTGTACATTTTGACACACATAAACAGTACCTTAAAGATATACATAAAATTAAAAAGTCAGCATAGAGAGCCAACTTCAGTTTCTCACATGAATCCAACTCAAACGTTTACAACATTTGCGCCGTACATAAGTCCTTTATAGAGAAGAGATTCTTTCCATTGGATGACACAAAGAAGCTCTTAATGCGGTACGGTTAAGTGAAACCAAGTACGACCTTTTCATCAAAAACAAAACGACCACACATACACAGACTGACAATAACAAATACTTCGAACACTTGCTTGGCCGACAAAAAGATAATACTGAAATGTATTTTTGAAGACAAACAAAAAAAAAAAGAAAAGCGAGGGGGGAGAAAGTCAAACTTTTAAGTCTGTCCTCTGGCTTCTTGTAAACAGCAATTTGGATGTAATGCTAAACAGCTGAGAGGGCTGAGGATCAAAAGGCTGGGGGGAGCTGGTGGAGGCTTTTTTTTCTTTCGTTTTCTTCTTTTCATTCACACCGGACTATCTTGTTCTGAGCACAAACATGTGAAAAGGCGGCACTGTCCTCATAAAACACTGATAACGCAAAGCAAAAACATCCCTTTTAGGTCATGGCATTGGTTCGTCAGAACAGATAGTGTAATGAACCTTAAAGCGTGCCCCGTAGGTCTACGTACATCTCTGCCACTGCGTGGGTGGACGTGACTTCATTCGGGCCCAGCTGAGCACTTGGGCACGTTTCAGCAACCCAGATAAGAGCGCAATCCTTAGCTGGGTAATGAAATCCAAGGCCGACACGTGGACAAGGGGGAGCGCGTTGGGTCTGCTTATCGATCTGCTGCTCACGTCAGGGCGACGCATCTACGTATCCGACGGTTATTGTTGGCCCGCCAGCAGCGCGAGGCCGACTGAGACAAAACAGTGTTCGGTACAGTCAAAATGAAGACTCCAGTCAAAATAAGCACAATTCCTTGAGGGATTTACTGCTGGGTATTTTTTTTAGGACAGTTTGTGTGTGTGTGTGTGTGTGTGTGTGTGTGTGTGTGTGTGTGTGTGTGCTATTCGAGTTCAGTGCCTCAGATGGTGAGCTCATTCAGTCCTTAAGGCACTAGGCTGCTATGTATGGGGAGTTTCCATTCAGAAAATCCTGAATCACAACTGTGACACTAAACTTGTTAAAATATTCCAAAGAGGCACCTCAGGATCTGTACTTTGCATTGACCACAGTGGGCGAGTTATTTGTCTGAAAAACAAAGGCACTTTTGGCAAAAATACAAATTTTCGTAGCATAAACAAACAGGAGAAATAAAAAGAAATAAATGAGACTCATCAAAAATAAGTTAACATTACAAAAGTGTCTTATTTAGGAAATACTGCAGAAAAAACTCCTCGATGTTTGTCTGTCAACCCGGCAAAGAAAATGATGGTCAAGGCCTCCTTTGCGCTATTTTATACACCAATAACAACCAAAAAGAATGGTTTCTCTGTTTGCCCCCCTCCCCTCCCTACACACAGTTCTCTTTTCACTTCTTTGGGAGTTTTTTGTGGACTCCGGCGAGTTTGCTGAAACAGGAATGTTTGCTGGTTTGCATAGAGAGATGGGAGGATGACGTCAGGGCTAATACTTGTGCATCAGTGGCACTTTAACAGTCTTGATCTCTGCTATATGGGAGGACTTCTGGATGATGCAGCTGGTGGTCCCAGAGGCGCCGTCCTTCCCCTGCGCCAAGTTGGTCAAGGCCATGGCGGCGTTGATCTCTCTCCAGTACGTCTCGTCTTTGCCCTTCACTCTCTCCTTTTGCGTAGCTCCGACGCCAACACCGCCACTGATGATCGGAGGAAACACGCAAACGTGCGCAGGAAAGAACAAAACAAGAGAGCGGGGAGTTAGAGGTCAAGTTCAGCTTGTAATGAAGGAAAATAGAGGATTTGATCTGAGCGGCAAGGTAACAGAAAGTCCACTCACTTGTCACATTTACTTGATCCATGGTCTGTGGTTTCTGAAAGTACAAGAAGAAGAAAAAAAAGGTTGGTTTTGCAGAGTTCTCTGGGGTCAATGATTTATTGAACTCTAGCTGAACGTACAGGCTCAGGAGGTGTGTGTGTGTGTGTGTGTGTGTGTGTGTGTGTGTGTGTGTGTGTGTGCATGGTTCTGTGTGAGGTCTGCACTGTAAGTGTACACTCTGTCCAGTGCAAGCATGTGTTGCTCTGTTTTCTCTCTTCACTCAGATGCTGGACAAAAAGGACGTTTTGCAAGAAGCCGTCAAGAAACAAGTTGACTAATAGGATCGAGTTGAAAGATGTTTCTTATGACTCATAAACTCCATTCCCTAATATTTTGTCCGAAAACAAATGGGCCCCAGCCAACGTAATTGAGTTGTCTGAGGAAATCAGATTGAAAATGACCGAGCGTAAAAGATTTGAATGGGAATGAAAAGGCAGCAAGTGAGTCAGTGAGAGGAAGATGGATGTCTGCTCTTTCTTTTTTTCTTTTTTTTCTCTCTCTCTCTCTCTCTTCAAATGGGAGCAATCTCTATCTCATATGTAAAACATTAGTGGGGAATAGCAGAGTCATAAAACAATGAAACCAAACTTGTGTGTACTTCAGCACGCGGCGGAGAGAAAGACCGTGTGCATGTGTTGGTGTGTGGGTGCGTGGGTTAATTTGTGCATGTGTTTACGCCGAACCTGTCTAGTGTCTCGGGTCCAGTGCGTTTTGCCCGGCAGTGAGTACGATGACAGAGGCTTGGCGTTTCATGAGGCATTTAAAGAGCATCTGGATTCCCTCGCCGCGCAGCCTCCAGGTGCTCTCTTTAAGTAAACCAAAGAAACAGCTAAGGCCCTGCGAGCTTTTGAGAGGTTCGATCGTGACCAGATGACTGGTCGCCTTAAGATCATTCAAAAGAAGGCAAATTGTCTTGGTTTCCACTTAGTCCGAAGGTACCAAAGAGATTGACTTAACTCGTACCTCCTTCACCCTACCAGACGTCCCAGTGGGTAAAACCAGTCTCTTGAACCCTCCACGCCACATTTCCCAGCGAAGCGACTGTCTAGACCTGAGCTGCCGGTTTAACGAGCCCTTCTTTGCGACACCGTGACCGCAACGCAACAGTCGACGGACGTTTCCGAGTGTTCCCTCCAGCTAATGAAAATCTGCACCCCTTCATTTCCACTGGAATTTCATTCCCTGTGATTGTCAGACTGGAAAAAAAAAGGTTGCGCAAGGATACAGTGTTCAGGATTTAGCTTCATTGCAGACCAGTGCCAAAACTCCCCATTTCCTCCGGAGTCGGAGAAAGCACACCCTGAGATTTTACCGCTCTGCTTTGTCACCTCTAACCTCGCCAAAGCCTCTCATGGACTTTCCAAAGACCTGGATCCCGTGCTCGGGTTTTCGTGAGCTGCCATAAGTGCCTAATTACTCCCCCCAATGTCTTGCTCTGTTCATCCCTTGTTTTCCAGAAATGTTCCCATGTAGCGTGACCCGCACTGACAGTACCGGGTTTGCAATGCCCCGGGCTAATATGGGCCCGATTATGAAATTTCCTGTAGTTTTCCAGTTTGGTCTGTAATAGGTGTATTCCACAGAGAGAGATAGGCTTCACTCTCAGCAATTTTCTTCTGTTGATGATCCTTGGACAGGAGAAGGGAGGAACGTGTGTGTGTGTGTGTGCATGTGTGAGAGGGAGATGAGGACATGATAACCCAGAAAGTACAAACGACAAAATGAGATTTTCAGGTTTCAGTTCCAACAAAACCCTCACATTCTCGTCTGGCCACAACTCCCCGCTGACCTATCTCTCCCTCGGTCGCTATCTTGCTTCATCAGCAAGTCCCTCTTCCTTTATTGATATTCCCCGGGTTCCTTGTCCTCTGTCCTCCACTCGTTCACCTCTCGCTGCAGTGATCCGCTGTAATACCTCGTGATCCAGGTACTTGGAGACAGACCATTCTCATGCAGCCCAGCCAAGAGAAATGCAACGTTTCCCCTCCATGTTTTAATAAGGGCCGACTTTGTGCTTTGTCAAGAATAAGCACCTTTTCCATATTTTCAAAGCTTTTTCAAAGCCCTTGATGTTATCCATCTCTGCTGTATCTCATGTTTTATTTTTGTTTTTTTTGTTTGAACCAATTGTGAACATTTGAAGACTGTGAAGGCATCTTTTCTGCGATCTAGTCTCTCAATTGCTGCCAGTGCTCAGAAGCGTATTGGTCCTGAGTACAAAATATGCACCATTCTCCATAATCACAGCTCTGTAATTACAGGCCAATTGCACTGTTTTCATATGTTGTTTGTCCTCCCCCAAAATAAATTAGCTCGGTGTTTGCTGCTGCGGTGCTCGGTGTATGGATCGGTCGGTGACAGCAGCAACCGGGTCAATGGCAGCAACGTCGAAGACAAACAACATACAGTAGAAAGTGTCTTTTTGTGTGTTGTGAAGTCACTGTGGGCTGAGAGGTACAGCGTGCGGGTCTTTCCATCCACAGCTTTTAAGTGTTTTCAGTGTGTGTACTTGTGAGGCATGTACAGATGACAAAACAGTGTTTCTGAGGCCACCCTG